AAACATGCCAAGGACCCGACGACAAAAAAATATTGCCGGTCGGACACGGCAAGTCAACATACGGCAAGCAATGCAAAACGTAGGAGCCCAGACGAAGAGCTGGAACAGTTAGTGGCAACGTGTATTTACAAAATTACACTGACAAGAACAAGAATTCAGCAGCATTCACTTGGCGAGATGGCATTAAAATGTCAGAAATGTGGTGCGCTACATTTTAAAGAAGAACAAAGAGGACGAGGCGAAGGATTTTACATCCAGCTGCCAGCTTTATGGCATCCTGCTGCCATAAAGGAAAAGTGAATCTACCACCATACCAAGAAATCTATTATATTAAGAGCCTACTTAATGGAGCAAATCATTTGAGCAGAAACTACAAACAGAACACTAGATCGTACAACTCTGCGCTCGCAATGGTCAGCATTTGAGCTAAAATTGAAGAACATAACGGCGGAGGGCCTTTCATGTATAAGGTGCAAGACACAGTTTATCACCCAATTGTCACCTTTCAACCGTCAGAAGGGGAGCATCCCACATATGCCCAAATTTATACCTACGTACGTCGAAACCGCTGTTCAAGAAAGAATGCTAAACAAAGCTAATGGCTCTTGCAGCACTGACTCAACTTGATATTAATCCATACGCGCAAGTTTTCAGCATGATGAGCTCTGTCCTGCAAAATACCCCTACTGAACAGCAAAAAGAACTTAGAATGCATATAGTCAACGATCGAGCTCAAGACAAACGTCGATACAACGACGCAACTTCTAACGACGTTGCTATAACATCCTAATTTATTATTCGTGCGAATTCGCACAGGTTCACCTAGTTCTATTTAAATAGGGAATAAATATGATATTTTTAAGGAGGCATTTAAATGTGAAATCCTATCAGGCTAATGGAAATTCGCTTAGCCTGCAGGTTTGCTGCGGCGGGGGTATTTTATACTACAATACAGTGTAAATTTAGTAACAGCACAGTTTAAATTTTTTATAAGCTGTTATAAAGTTACTGAAGAAGATTTATGGAAAGTCAAACTATAAAGGTAGCAAAATTACATCCCAAATAGTCTCAATTTAACAAAATTCACTCAAAAAGAGTCCTTGATAAAACAAATTTATCCTCCAGTTTTTCAGACTCTGTTTCAAGATTTTGCTGTCTACTATCAATAGGCTATTTACCTGTCAAACACATAATATGTTTTTGAACTTCCCTCTCCTCACAGATAGTTCTTTTGTTGTAATGATACCAAAAGACTAAGTATTTGACACCGCTACTAACAAATAATATTACAAACAAGACTATTAGAATACCTATTTATTAATTGCAACTAAAAATTGTGCATTTTACATTTTTGTATTAAATAAACACAATAAAATAAACTTTTAAATATGATTAAAGTGGTGTAACTCCTCACAGATAGTTCTTTTGTTGTAATGATACCAAAAGACTAAGTATTTGACACCGCTACTAACAAATAATATTACAAACAAGACTATTAGAATACCTATTTATTAATTGCAACTAAAAATTGTGCATTTTACATTTTTGTATTAAATAAACACAATAAAATAAACTCTTAAATATGATTAAAGTGGTGTAACTACATGTAATGTCGACAATCCCAAGTGGTTGTGAAACAACTAGTTTCGGCTCATAACGGAGCCATCTTCAGGTTTTTCAAGGACATTATCACTTCTTCCGAAGGTCGTCTAAGTTCACAAATAATTTACATACATTAAAACCATTTAAAAACACGTAACACGCATGCCTATGTGATGTTTTAAATATCATCTTTGAGGTTGCATTAAATGTTCGCCTAGCTAGACGGTTGCAGCTAATATATTGGAAAACCAGCTATTTTGTTTTTATTTATTTACTAGCATTCAACCGGCGCGCGTTGCTGCGCTAACAACTGTTATTTTAAATGGTAATTTGTTCTTTACAATTGATATCTTTATATATTTATTAGGTGTATGAATATATCAGTTTTTACTTTGATAAAGGTTTTTACTTTTTATGTTTACATATTTAATAAGGTAGGGAAGAATTTAAACGTTTTTGAGTGCACAGGTGTGCTGCGATTGGGGTTTAATATATTTGGCCTTATCTAAAAGTAAAATAGTTTTCTGTGCTGCATTCTGTAGAAATATTGTGGCACTATTCCTAATCATGACTAAAACAGAATGTTGTGATTATTCAAACCAACAGTTGGTTAAAGTAAACATATGCTTTTAAATTAAACTAGCTGTGTGCCCGTTCTACGCACGGGGATCTTAAAGTAGTCAGTTGAAACCTTCTTATATTAAGAAAAGCAGTTGGTTTGCATATTTGCAGATATGCTGGCAAAACTATTTTATATAAACCTTTGCATACAGTATCTGATAGTTCAATCCAAAATAAATGCTTTGCAATTAAATGTCACCCGGATCGTGTTGGTCCATATGTTAAATCCAATGATTAAACTAAAAAATGCTTTATAGATCCATGAGGCATAGCCCTAAGGTAGGCCTATAATTTAAAGTTACTTTCCACAATGGTTAAACGTATTTAAAGTACTACCTCAACATCACCATTTAACACTTTATTCCGGTTGACATTTTCATTATCAAAGGTGCTCTTGTCCATTCCGTGAAACACTGAGAAATCCTTATTTCTCAGTGTTCTATGTTATTTCTTAATGTCCTTACATTAATGCGTTACCAACAAAAATACACCCAAAAATACAGAATTTAATTAAGGAATTTGCTACGCTTTAAGCATAACAAAGTAGGCCTACATATAAAATTAGTATTTGAAATCTTTGTTAATGTCATTAAATTTTATCATAACAATTTATATTTGCTTAGACCAAAGATGACCCGAAATGTTATCGAAATTACGGCTTACTATATGAAAGTACATAGACGATTTAGATTGGTAACTCAGAATAAAAATTACCAAAATAGGCCACGAACTATTGATACATAAACAACGTAAAGGCGTAAACAATTCATGATGGTTTGCTCTACAAATGTTTTACTCAAATGGGTTATCATTTTCTTAGCATACTGGGTAAGCTAAGATTTTGGAATCCAGGCAGAAAAAGCAAAACTTATACACTTAAGACATCAATTAAATTGAATACGGCTCTAATAAATAAGGTGCAACACCGACGATAACTAATTTGTAAATTACAGTGATGTGTTGGTACGTAAAAATGATTCTTGCAGCTATACCAACTGTTCTAAGGAAAAGAACCAGTACCAAAAACCAACTTTTACAGTTAAGAACTATAGTACATCCGACCAATTAAATGCATTAATCTAGTCCCCAGGTTATTGATCTCTTGGTTTTGGATTTTCTCGTAAAAAGTTATAACTTTTAATGTAAACTTATCGGTGTCAGTTTGAAAATAAAAACAACCTTATCCAAACAACTTCTTGTTATTTCATAGATTACGTATTCTCTTAACAATGATTAGTATATCTATTAACATTAGAAGGAAATGTGACAAAAATCACACAATGTTGGGTTTTTGGACATTTTTTAATTTTATTTCTTAAGTATAAGGATCGTCGTCGAAAAGGTTGTTATTAATAAGTAGGTAGGCTTACGTACCCAAGAGAAAGGGCTATGGCCCTATTGGATGTATGGTCCAGCGATTGCATCACACGGTGAATAGAAACACACTCTTGCCAATCCAGTGAATACATTAAAATGACTTGGATCTTGATAGGTACTCTCGTTTTCACGGAGAAGATTGCGTAAAATGCCATCTTGAGTGTTACAGACAGACAGACAGACAGACAGACAGACAGACAGAGATAGACAGAAATAGAGATAAGACTCGTTTCTGCTTCTTTAATGTATAAAACGTAAAAATAACCTAAAAATATACAATTCTGAGCAATGTACAGACAAAACTCTAATTTTATTTATATAGATTTATTTGTAAACATTGTAGTTCCAAAAGCCTGACATTGGACCCCTTAAAACCCTCTGGGTCGGACCCCTTTTGTCGGATCTGCTCCAAACTTCATACAAACCATCCTTGAATAATGCTTAATAATGCCTGAAAGTTTCATTATACAATCTGTCAAGCGGTTTTGGAGTCCATAAGGTACATACATATATATACATACATACATACATAGTTCCTCTTTTATAGATATAGATTAAGTTTTATTTTTTTACTGTGCAACTAGACCTTGAATGTATTGAACAATGTGTAGGTAGGTACGGTACTGTTTACAGTCAATTGGATTTTGCCAATGCCTCCTGAAATGGCATTGGTGAGTCGGTGGCTTTGGTGAGTCGGTGGCTTTGGTGAGTCGGTGGCTCAGTCGGTAGCGTCGCGGACTTCGGGCCCAAGGCAGTAGTGTCGTGGGTTCGGATCCTGGTCACTGCCACTAACTTTTATCAGTACAGTTCACCTTTGTACTGTACCGGCTCACTCCTTGCTTTGCTGGATACGTTCCACGCACAGATCTGTAGTCTATGTGGACGGGCAAATGGCAAATGCAAGGTTAAAAGAGGCCGCCAACCTCTTTTTTTAAGTTAAAAAAAAAAAAAAAAAATTAAAAAAATATAGGCCTGCAAATTATTTTATTTTATCGAGTTCAGTTTTAAAAGCTGGCTGTCATTCAAGACAGTATATTAGTTCAGTTGTTATTTCATTTTCATTAATTTTGAGGTCGTAATACTACTTATGTACATATTTTAGGCTAAATATGAATGAAGGATAGAATAACATGATTCAAGTGCCTTTATCATTGACTGAGATAAGCTGTTATAAGCCCAGTGATCACGGTCATAGCTGGACCCAGTTACCGATGATTAAAAAGCTAGGTACTCACTTTTCTTTGTTCAATTTGTCACAATTTGTTCACTGTCGGGTGAGCACTCTAACCACTCAGCTACCGAACTTTTATTCAAAATGTCTCATTTAGATTCACATTTTGATGTACAAATATGTTCTTTTTCACACCTTACAAAAATTTAAATTTTCTGTTTTACAACAGGTCAAAGTGAAGTGAAATCAGAACCAGCAGCAATCAGTGCAACAAAACGACCGAGTCAAGGAAGCGAGTCGAACTATGGGAACCCGTCGGTAGTGGATCCTGTCGTCGTCAGCTTTGAGGAAGGTATGCGCCTCTACTGATGGACTGCACCGTGGAATAGAGTTCTGAGCTCTTCTGCACAGGCATTATAATAACGAAGGTTTTCATCACTTATTAATGCAATGTTTGTTTTTAGCTAATAAAGCCCTTAGTTTTTCGTACGAGTCGTAATTCGTAGGCTTTATTTTATTTTGTCTTAGTAAGTGATGACTTTCGTTGCCTATCTCTGTTTTTTGACACGTCCTCGTACTCTCAAGACGATGAGATGTAGGCTGTTGAGAACAGACCATTAGCATCGGGAGGTTAAGGTTGTGTATTTAACCAATACATCTGAAGTCAGTCCGATAAGTTCCTGCTTCACTAATAATAAAACAACTCAACCTTAAAGGTTGTTCAACTACATGTGTAAAATATTTTACTTGCAAATATACACTAGGCATTGAAATTTTATGCTGCATTGTAAAAATAACATCTACAAATACTTTTGTTTGAAGATTAATGTTTCATTTGATTTGTTGTTACTAATTGTGTTTGATTAGGAAGCATTGTAATCTGATTTTGAACTTTGTAATAATAAAAACAAAATAATAAATTTTGACATGAAATTATGGAACCTTCTGTTAAATTTTTTACATTAACTTTTCACTTAAGTTCATGGTCAATTTCCAACTTATTTAAACAAAAAGGTAAATATACTTGTATGTTGTGTACTAGTTAACCACAATTTTATGTTTTTAATATACTTTGACAATAACAAATAATACCAAAGCTAATATTTGAAGTTTCAAAAAAGAGTACTAGCATTGCCATCTGTGTTAATCTGTTCTTAATGTAATTTACATTTTTAATCAGTCAAACCACACCTCTTATTACAAGTAGGTTACCTACTAACTCATGTACAAGATTTTGTTAGAAAATAAGTGCTAAATACTTGTAAACTGTTTTATTTGTCATAGACTCCCAATTTAAAATGACGTTTTAAACAGATCTTTATCATATGCATAATTTAGTTTAGTAACTGCACAAAATAATCATTGAATACCCCCGCCAGAGGAAAACTGTAAACTAAGCGAATTTCCATTTGTCTGATTAATTTTTACTTAAACATTCCCCAAAACTTATCAGATTTATTCCCTATTTAAATAACATTAGATTTAATTAGTACAGTTTGCTGCTAGAGGAAAAAAGAGTTTTTGGTATAGGCTAATCATTTTATTGTATAGTGTGAAACAAAAAACAGTTGCCAAATTATTGAAATGATTAATATAATATATCTATGAACAAGCAAACTACAACAGTTTACTTATCATCCATACAAATAACATTGGAATTTCAAATGTACCATTTTCAGAATTTTCGCATTAACCTATAATCCTACTACAACGCTTCAATATACAAAATTATTTGTTTTTGGCTCTACACAATGGTTTTAATTAGGGATGGACGGGATTGAATTTTTAGTTCGGGACGGGACGGGACGGGATTTTTATTTCCTTCCCGATTTTCGGGACGGGACGGGACGGGATTTTTTTCTGTGCATAAAAAGAAAGTACTGTATTGCAGTTACCAAAAGAGACATACGAAATCAATTTTTACCATTTGTGGCACTGATCTATAAAAACCAAAAAATTGGGTAACCTATAGAAACTTGTGACTCGCGGGTCACGGGGTGATCGTCTGTATGACTCACGGTCACGGCGCGATCGTCAGCATGACTCGCGGTCACGGCGAGATCGTCGTCATGACTCGCGGTCACGGCGCGATCGTCGTCATGACTCGCGGTCACGACACGATCGTCGGTATGACTTCGCGGTCACGGGGTTATCGTCGGTATGACTCCACGGTCACGGCGCGATCGTCGTCATGACTCGCGGTCACGGCACGATCGTCGGTATGACACGCGGTCACGGCGCGATCGTCGGTATGACTCCGCGGTCACGGGGTTATCGTCGGTATGACTCCACGGTCACGGCGCGATCGTCGTCATGACTCGCGGTCACGACGCGATCGTCGGTATGACTCGCGGTCACGGCGCGATCGTCGGTATGACTCCACGGTCACGGCGCTATCGTCGGTATGACTCGCGATCACGGCTCGATCGTCGGCATGACTCCGCGGTCACGGCGCGATCGTCGGTAGGACTCGCGGTCACGGCACGATCGTCGGTAGGACTCCGCGGTCACGGCGCGATCGTCGGTAGGACTCCGCGGTCACGGCGCGATCGTCGGTAGGACTCCGCGGTCACGGCGCGATCGTCGGTATGACTCGCGGTCACGGCGTGGACGTCGGTAGGACTCCGCGGTCACGGCGTAATCGTCGACATGACTTCGTCTCCTGCGTTCGCGGACCTGTCGCCTGCAATAACGGCGTTATCGGCACTCGCGAAGCGGAAAAATCGCCGACGATCGGACCAAATCCCGTCCCGAAAAATTCCCGAGTCAAATGTAATCCCGTCCCGATAATCGGGAATATTTTTTTCCCGAAAAATTCCCGAAATTTCGGGACCCGTCCATCCCTAGTTTTAATAAAAATAGGTATTTTTATGTTTTGTTGGGTAAAAATTTGAAAAATGTTTATACCCCACCTTATTGTTTATCACCTTGTTCTATGACCTGCTGGTTAGCAAACTCATTCAAGTGCATCCAGCCCTAGACGTTCATGTCAAATTTCATCAAAATCTGATCAAAATTACTAGAGTTATCACATTTACGAACATACACACACATATAATCATTTATCAACATTGGTTGACCTCTAAAATGGAAAAGTAAATCGTCCCAGGTCTAGGTCTTGCTGGGCCACCTAAGGTACTTGCTTCTTTCTTATAGAGGAATTTGCCCAATTAAAATCCTTTTAAGTTTAATTATAAATCCTGAACAGTTTTAATGATGAGCTATATTATAAATATAAACATATACAGAGTTTTTGATCTTCATCAGTTTTGTTACTTAACTTACACTATTGTTTTTTTAATAATAACATTTTGGAGTGCTTATGCTACCCTACTTAATTATGCTGTCTTTAATGCAAATGTAAAAACAACTATCTATTTAAAAAAGGCCAAACTAAAACAATATGCATTTTCAAATGCATGGCAACAAATAACTGTTTGAAGTGAATCGTGTTAAAGTCTCATCGTAATCCCGTAGTTGTAAGAATAGAAAATCATTTAAAATTGTTAAACCATCCACATTGATGATTTTTTATGCAAATAGCTCTGGTATTTGCTTGTGGATCATAAATTTTTGTTTGGACTCACTAAAGATATTTTTGTGTTGATGTTTGGAATTGGAATCAGTAAGTGGTGATGGGAAAAATCTGGCCCCTTAATGCATGTAGTATCAAAATATTGTCTCTTCTACTCCATAGTATTATTGTCGTTTATTTGATGTCCGGTATCAGAGTTATCTATAGCTGGGGTTACACTTAACCGATTTGGTCCGGTCTGGCCAGAAGAGGTGGTTACAATTGTATGATATTCAGAAGGACACACACGTTTTATGATTCCATTCCTCAACCAAGTAATCATGCGACTCTGGAAATAGCTGAGCGCTCACGGAACACCCTAATCCTCACCCGAATTTCGGAAGTAAGTGGCTACACTCGTCAATTCCACTACGCTAGCTTCCTCCAAATGCGGATGAATGCTCCTGGACCGGACTGAATCAGACAAGTGTAGCCACTGCTTAAATATTGCTTGTTTACAAATTAACCTTATAGTTAGTATATGTTAGCTTTGGTTAGAAATTATATGTGCAGTTTATGATGCCTAATAATTGTGTAATAAATGCAAATTTGATTAACTTTATAGATAGTTCACATCAAAGTACATCAAACCTAAAATAATAATAGTTCATGTTTAATGTACAGTATACTCCCCCTCCTCTTTACACCTCAGACTAGATCCCTATCAGAATGTAAACAAATCTGAACCTTGAAACCACAGATTATGTAAGCGATTCTTCAGTCAGTACCAAAATAAAAATCTCTACGGACCAAGCAGCGGAATGTAAGTTTTTTGCAAGGCTATGAACTATGTGGGATTAATAAACATTTTGCTATGCAAACCGTCCTAAATCCAAACCAAACAGGTATTCAAAAAGAGGGAGTCCAACCATATTTTTAATTAGACGAGAGACAATTTCCAAAAGTTCAACAGTCTCAAACCGAGTTGGGAAAGTTAGGGATTTACAGTAAATAAACAAATGAGATTACAAAAAATATATGAACAGTTTTGATTGATGTTTAGAAAACACCTGATATTTAATTTTCACAATATTGCCTTTATATTTTGAACTTTCCATCTAAGAAATGTGGAAGTGGATTTTTAATCAGGTGTCAAAGGATTTTCAGTCTTGCCTTTATATCATTTTGGTGAGTTGTGGCGGTCCAGGGATGGATCTTATATTTTTTCACAATGGATAGACCAATGCCAGATCATATTTAAACGCACATAGAACGTCTCTGTTCTGACACAACTTGTCGATATATTTGTTGGTTTGAAAAATTTATCATTAATTAAGCTACAATTTGTTGTTGTTAATAAATCACATAATATTTTATTTGATAGGTGGCTTTTGTCTATACAGAAACATGCAGTTTTATTGGTTAGTAGTTGCAGACATCGGCAGTAATATAGTTATATTCAACTTTAATATTCTGGTATGTCCTTTAAACATAGCATTAAACCAAAACTCTTAACTACACACATCTTGGGCTTTCAGTTTTGAAATGAATTAATTGTTAAATCTATTTTCCTTAAATATTGTACACACAAATGAAAAATTTATTTTAACTAAAATAAAATAGTCAGTTAATTCCATACTTTTAAGTAGACCAAACAATTATATGAATTAAAAATAAAACTAAAACATCGCTGAATAAAAAAAACAAAAATGTAACTAACACACCTACTAACACAACTAACACAATCTACTCTAAAGAATATAACTGCGTAAAAAATTTCACAAGCTTCTTGTTTGTAGAAAAGTAGGCCTGACTGATTTTTACTGCTGTTTATAATGTAGAAATAGCTATCATACAATTTTACTCAACTTAAATAAAACCATCTACTTTCATATGCTATTCTTGTAAACATGTCTTTTCCAAAAAGTGTATGTTTTAGCAGGTCCTATATATGTGAGGTACATTGTCTATGGTGTAACCAATTATTGAACTTTGCCTTACTTGGTAAATTATTAAGAATGTAATGTTTTTTATGTGCACTGTGTTAAAGGCTTTATATTGTTAATCTTTAAATAATGTTCTGGAATAAGTTCTCCAGTCATCTTAATTATTTTCTTGGAAACCTGTTTTTGAAGTGTGTTCTTTAAATAGGCCTAGGTACAATTTATCTTCTTGACTGTACTGTATTTAAGATGTATGTGTGTTTCTTATCCTGCTATCGTTAATTTAAGTTGGTCATAATATATTGTTTGCTATGATAATTTCACTGACATGTTAACTCTTTTTTTGTTATTTTATGAAAAGGTTTATTGAGCAAAGTACAGTCTGATAGAAACTATTTTCAATTGTGTTATTTTGTCATTTAAGGCCCATTCTACACAAGCGCGAATTTCACACTTTGTAGTTGTCCAACTCCAACTATTAATTTGGACTAAGCTATTGTAATTTGTTTTTTTTTTTTTTTTTTTTGTTTATTCACATCATTTAGAGATATAACTTACTTAAACTTCGATACATTCAAAGTTGCTTATCTTTGACGAATAAATTGCAATATTCATTTTAAGGAACAAATTTTGGTTGTCATATGGTGATTATTGTTTGTATTTACTTTACATAAATCCCAAAGTACCCATGCACTTTTGAGAAAACAAGTCACACCGCCATAAACCATATACTTTAAATGTTGGTCATGACGAGAAACCTTGCGCAAAACTATCCATTATTTCATAAATTGCCCTTTAACACGTTCGCGGCGGCACGTCAAATGGTGGGCGTATACCCAGTGTGGCGCAGCCCTCAGCGTCGAACAAACCCGATTGCTGCGTGTGATTGGCTTTCCAATTTCAGTCTGACGAATAGCAAATAACGTGCGAGGATGTCCTGCTTTACAACGAGAGTCGACGTAGTTCGCTAAACACCGACAGATGGCAGCACTGCTTGGAACATAGCCGGTCCCATTGGAATTGTATTGCCAAATGGAGGGAAAAAGACAGGACAAAAAGTAGATTTTTGAAATTGCCAGACGGGGATTTTACGGGGAAGTTTACTACCAACCTACACCTCACCAAATACAGTATACTATTGAGCAGTGCTGTGCAAGGTTTCAAGTTTCTAGCTCTAATCCTGGCTTAAAAATAAATCATTCCGTACTGCATTGCAGCTTGGGAGCGATCACACCCACCAGGATGGCATTAGGGTTCCGTATGGGAGCAATCGCTCCCATGCTGCCGCGAACGTGTTAAGGTCGTAATTCCTTTCTAAAGGGAACGTTCCATATACCTAATGTTAAAAATACCTCAGATGTTCTTATTTGTTTGTTATTCATTCAATTTATTACCTTATTAAAATCAGGTGTGAATATTTCTTTGTATTTCTGTATTCCGTTTTGATTATTTCAGCTTAACTTACCCATCAAAAGTTTTAAATAAATAAATAATTAATTCTTTATTGTCATATAAGTTTTGAGTCATAGCATAGCTAAAAAACAGATGACATTGTTATAAGTATAAGCATAAGTATTTATTAATACTTATGAAGACAAACGGGGCGAAGCCTGTGGGTAACAGCTAGTTACAAATAAATATCTATTGTAATTTTTGTTAATAAATTAAATGTACTAAAAGTCAAACACATTAAGAATTTACTAGCCGACCAATTATTTTTGTTGTTTGAATAAAAATACTTATGACGAAAGGAATACAAAATGTATAACATATGAAAACAAATTTAATGCTACATTCATGATCTAACATCACAGTGCATCGTATAGAACCAAAAATCAACTGGACAATGTATTTGAGGTGTGAGCTGCCACACACCGTGATACCGCTGCATGTAGAATGGCTGGGCGCCCGACACGGAATTGACGTTGACACCAACTTTGCGTCCATCCGCGCCATGAATCCCGCTCGTGTAGACACGCCACTTTAACGCAATGGTCCCTGTCAAGCTCGTGGCCTCGAACGTGGGAATCCCGTTGCGGATTTCATGCTCATGTAGAATTGGCCTAAAACTCATGCTGAATGGGTAACTTTAGATGATGTACAGTAAGAAAACCAGACTTGACACTCAATTTTGCAAGTAAATTCAACTAATAACCCTCAATTTAACCAGTTCAATGAGTGTTAACATCTTTGGATAGCATATTTTAAATTATTATTTCTACTGAGATTTTATAATCTAAATCTAAATGTTTTGTCTTAGACACAGTTGCTCATGTCCAAAATTCCAATAATTATGTATGTATGCTCAGTTAACTTTTAAATTTTTCCCCAAACATAACATCCTTTCTCAATTAAATTTTCTTTACTAAGGATTATCAGTGTTCTATATTTGTTTAAAACATTCTTGAATTATTTTGGTTATGCTATCAGAGATTGCTGGTTTTTCTTATAAGTCAAATTATAATAGAGTGTAGACCTCTATAAAAAAAATTGTCTTATCATTCTGTATAAGAGTCTAATTTTTCTTTAACTTGATCACTATATTCAAGACAATTTTTAAGAGATAAAAATACATTGTTTCTATGGTTTATATTAATATTTTAATTTTATTACAAAAAGTTACTAAACGGTTTAAGGCTGATTACTAAACTAAACTTATTCTCAACGAAATAAATGTTCCTAAATTTCCACCTTTTTGTTCTAGGACTGCTTGCATTCCTCTCCATTTGAAAAAAAAAGATCCAAGGAAGTTAAACTTCGAGAAAAGCTTTGTTGCTATCATATATTGTTGCCATTTTTCGGATAAGCTTTTCATTTATTTTTCTTTCTTGTACAAAGAATGTATGTGTCTTAAGAGTCAACAAATCATTTTTTTTTCGTACAATCTTGTTTTGTTACCATTACAGTTATTCGTGCATCAGATGAATATTTAATTTGAGTTTATATGATGTATAAATATTGACATTGAATATTCCAATGACATAAAATGTCTGTGCTTTACTTTGATGTGTGATACTTAGTTGTGCTAACGTTCAGCTTCATGATCGTTTGGTAGAAAAGATTTTTTAGTTTTTATATGGGCTCTTTTGCGGTGTATGGGTATATTTTTCGTGTATATTTTATTATAAGAATGTTTTTTTTAGTTTAAATTAGTTGTGTGATTTGTGAACTTAGTTTTTACTGTGGTATACATATAGGGTTGCAAGTCAAACGATGTTTTAGTCCTTGAAACAGTTGTGAAGCTGTTAGCAATAAGCATAATTTTGAATGTGTGAGTATAAATTACTAAACGTTGATTTGATTTAGTTTTAAGTTGTTTTGTATTATTGGTGAAAGAGTTTTCTTTAAACCTACTATTTTGTAGAGGTAGTTTATAATTTTACATTAGTAATGTTAATGAGGTGATTAATTAATTACTGTAGCATCTATTAAAATTAAAACTGACTTAGTTCTAATGTATTTTGTAGCAAGTTTTAAGTGCAATTGCAGGTTTAATATTGTTTTAACTTTTTTGTGCATTGACTTTTAAACCTAGTATAGTAATCAAAACTTATTAGGCGGCATATACTAGGAATTGTTAACTTTGTTAGTCACCATCTAGTAATTTGGATTGTTCATTATTAATTTTTCCCTTAGTCTAAGTTTTTATCATTGACTATGGCTACCAAGCGGTAGTTGTGTATTCATAGTCAGTGATAATATGTTAAACATAATTAATTAATGCACTTAAAATTTTTACAACAACCAAAGTCAAATCAAATGTGATTGAATAATGTCTTTTGTTTTCACTATAGTAGCTGGGTTATTCTTTATTTGAAGTTTTTCTAGTTTAGATTTAATCTTTTGTAAACAGTTAGTAGTCAGTTAAATAAACTAAGGGATATTTATTTGTATTTTACATAGTTTATTTTAGTTATTTTATTGTTGACTGCTCAATTTACCCTAGTGTAAGCTTTCTCTTGCCTTAATATTTATTGTCATAAATTAATGCCATTTCCTGAAAAGTAGAATAATTATTTATACCAGAGCGAAATAAATTCTTAATAATTTCAATGTTGGATTTCATTTTTCTGAACTGCAAGAACACACTTCAACTACAGATAATCATTTTCTTAAAATTTTTATAAAAATAAATTTTAATTCTTCAAATTCCATACTGTCATAATTTTATTAGCTAAAAACTTTTATTATCAGTGTTAAGAACTTGATTTTAGATTAAAGATTAAAATGAATAACATTTGTTTTAACCTTTTGATTAATTAAAGCAAATCAGTTTAATGGTAGTGCAGTTTTTATTTACAAGCTATAGCAATTCACTTAAAATGTTATGTATTTTTAATTACTTAATTACATTTAGCTTTTCAAAAAATTTGGTGGTGGAAAGTTTATGAGGGTGTGAACATGATATTCACCTGAACACAGTTGATATTTGGAATGCTCCTTTTAATGATGGTTTAATGCACTAAAATATGTATATATATATTTATATCACTGTTACATTCTCGATTCCAAAACTGTTTTATTGCAATAGTAAGCATTATTTAAAATGTGAAATTCTGTGTTTTCACTATTAAAAAAGATTACTACTATTAGACTAAGAAGATATTATTATAAAAATATTTGAAACCTAGGACTTTCTACTCTGTTTATTTTACACTTTTAACCACTTCTACTGACATTTTTAGGCCAGATCATACAATACCCCTAAAACGGAATTGTATACAATGTTACGATATAAACGTTTTAAGATTTTATATATTTTTGCAAAAGCCAAACTGCTAAAATCTAACTCAGTTGCCTGTGTTCTTGCAGAGTCAGATAACGAAAGTGTCCCACCAACTCCCTTTAAGAACACAAAGTCGACGGTAAGTGTAAAAACACTGGAGCAAATAAAGCTGGATAAGATACAAGAAGAGTCTGCGGCGTACTACAGTTACACGGAGATGCTAAGACCTCCAGAGAAACAAGATTTGCCATTCAAGGTTCTGTCTCTGGAGGAGATCCGAAAAACCAAGGAGGAACGACAACTGCAGCCGGACTCTACCACCTCGCGGAGGGAGGAGAAACCGGATGAACCTCGGAGCAAGCCCATCCGGTTAAAGCGTTGTTTGGTCAGAGGTAACGAAGAAAACATGTCGAGAGTTAAGTTAAAACGACCAAAGTTGTTGGAAAGTCAGACTGTAAGTTCAACAAACGAACCAGTTGAAGGAATGGATTTTACCGATAAACCGCTGACTTCAGAAATGGAAGAGGAAATTTGTCGTAAGATCCCGGATGACGATTTATTGAAAGACATCGATGCCTTACTTGGTGATTAATTTAATCTGATGACTGGGTATTGTGCATACATTATGTTCAGGTTTTGAGGCTAATGATTTTGATTGTGTTAAGGTTTTATTGTTTTAACAGATTCTTGACGAAAAATGACAACTAACATTTTTTAAATATGCCAGCCCGAAGCTTATTTAATCACAAATCTTGGTTTTGTATAGCCTATATTTCAAATGTAAGAAGTTGGTTTTTAACACAAATTTTAATTGTATTTTGCTTAGGCTGGTTCTCAACAAAGTCTTAATATAACGATTAAGTAATTGATATGGACGCCTTGAAAAATCAAACTAATCAATGGTTTTTGTACTTATTTTTCATATTCTAATTAATTTTTGAATACTTAGATTTTGGCTGTATTTATTTTTTATCAAATACATGTTAACTGGGGTCTGACTTAGGGGAGGTACGAATGAGGCATTTAGTTCAAAATTCCTCCGTGAACAGCGCTGTAGTAGGGAGCAAATGAAGGTTTACTAATCGCAAAAATAGTTCTGTTCATAAAATAAAATTATAAATGTCTCAAATTCAATTTTATTATTTTTTAATTATAAAATTAAACTATCATAACCTAACTGAACTAACCAAACTTGCTGATAAAGAAATAATATAACAAAAGTTTAGTAATCGGAAAAATAATTCTGTTTATTAAATAAAACTAGATCGAATTTGCTCAATTAAAATTTTGTAATGACTTAATAATAAAATTTAACTGTAATAACCTAGCCAAACCAACCAAACTTGCTGATAATAAAAAAATCTTGGACAAAAATTTAAATGCTATCAGCAGGATTCGAACCCGGGACCTGCAGTACATCAGCCCGGCACGCTAACCATTAGACCACCGAAGCCGATTGGCTACCGATCGTTTTGTTACGGTAATGGCGTTCCCTCAGCTAATAAGAAGCCCACAGCTGTCATCGTAGCCTCTTCTATACCTCCCCTGAGTAAATACCTGTTAACTGAGCCTTCTAATATAAAAGTTTGGGACCATACTAACCAAAAAATATATTTTTTTTTCAAACGAGCTAAATAATTACACGTAAAACTCTCTTTTAAAAATGTTGTTAAAATATAAAGTAGGCTTTTTAGTATCCTAATTATTATCAGAAAGTGAAGTTTTTCAATCATTTTAGTTTGTTTTGTATATGAATTACACTTTAGTGGTTAGTATTTGTCCTGGACATGATATGTACCTGCATGAAACTGGCAGATATTATATCTATGTAAATAATATAAACTCACAGATGATAAGAATGAAAATGAAGTAGTAGTTAACTAATATTTATGATTCATGCACTTTATAAAAAAAAAAGTTTAGTTATAACACTTACTCGCAATAACTTAGAAACACTCCACCAACTACAACAATATTTTATCATTAAAACAAAAACTTTAAGTCAGTCTGCATGTTTCTTCTAGGTATAATGTTATTCACCAACTAAACTAGTACAAGGCTCGGGTAATTTGCTAGATGTAATATAAGATTTTTATTCTTGAAACTTCTTTGTTGAGCTGTTTTATCAGAAATATTTATAACCTAATAATATTTACTCAAATTGATAAGTTGGATACAACAATTGTCTGTGTAGCCGAGTGGTTGTAGAGCTTGCCTTCAATTCTGAAGGTCGCTGATTTGATTCCAAGCGAGATCGTCTCCAGACCCAGATGCCATTTGTCATTGGACTATGGGTTAATGATCTTATCTAACAAAAAGGTTGACGTAAGATAGTAACAAGACAAGGTTTGGACCGTTCCCTTTTAAAACGTAAAAAAATGCCACTGGCCATTGATAGTACACAGAATAAAAGGGCACAGCAAAATGAAAAATTTATTTCCAAGGAGGGCAAACCAGTATCTTTACTCTGGGGGCTTCAGGTATAAAAGAGGGGTCCTTTAGAACACTACTCATAGGCTGCCTAGAAGTGAGAATTTTCTTTAAAAAATTTTAACAATACTATAAGGTAAACGCACCAGTAGTTGACAGTATAAGAAACTATACGCACTTAATAATCCGTGGTTTTGAATAAATAGGAACTAAAGAGATATTACGGATTTAATGGAATTCTAAATTTAGTGTAGTTTTCAAATTTGTCATACAAAAAGGGTTTTTTAAATATATTTTATATTATTTTTAAACTTAATTCAACCTTTGTACGTGTTCCAGTGGCTGACAGTGAAAAAAGTGCTTGTACCAGTAGCTGACTGTCAGTTGTCCCAGTAGCTGACACTGGAACTATAAATGTACTAGCTGCTAAACCTAAGGGTTTTATAATTTATAAGGCGAATAAAATCTAACTTAATAATTAAGTTATAAATAAAATCATGTAAAACGTTATTAAGAAAATTTATTTTTCATATTTTAAAATAAAAAATATTTAAATTAAAAAAAATATATATATTTTATATATATTTTAAAAAATATACATTTTTTAAAGATATTTGGCTTATTAATTAAAAAATTTAAATCATTTTATAAAAATTTGAGATCACATAAATTATAAATAGCATGCAAATTTCGATGGGTAAAACCAATTTAATATTGTGCAAGTAGCAAATACATCCCCTGTCAGCTAGTGGAACTTGTATGGCTTTTGTGTACCAAAGCCTGACATTGATATAATTTTAAATCCAAAACCCCTAACACCCCAATTTTATCATGAAATTGTCAACATTGGTATAATTGATAAAAATAATTAGCCTAACCATTAATACTATTTAAGAAATTTAGCGAAATGACAAAAAACCAAACTTGCCTTCTTAACAATTTCATTAAGGGAATCGACTAAATGTGATGTGTACAGACAGGGTCGCTTTCAAACCACCACCATTCAGCGAGTATGGGCTAAATTTCACTGATTTGTTTGTAAACAAATCAAGAATAAACATATGTTCTTCTAACAATGCAATCATGTGTACATATTTTTAAGAGACCACATTATAATGTAAAGAAACTCAAACTGTCAGCTTCTGGAGCACTGTCAGCTACTGGTGCATTTACCTTAATTACTGATGTCCATTGTTTCTTAACTAGGGTATTACAGTATGTATATTCAATTCAAGGACATGAACAATACAATCTATGACATAAATGACTCCATTCTAAATTTATCTTTGAGTTAAAATATGTTATCCTATCTCAATGTAATGATAGTCGTATCTAGTTGTTTGAAATATAGCATGTAACTTAACTTGATGGAAGGGTCATATTGTTGTAAACACTAATCACCGTGTTACTTGAAGGACTCCCAGCTAACAATCTGAATTGAAGAAAGAATACTACTGTATTCAAAGAAGCACATTCCAATGTGGTACACAGATTCACCAACAGTCCAAGCTAAACTAGCCTCTCTATTTCTGTTAGCCTTTATAAAGGTCACCGGTTCGATCCTGAGGAAATTCAGTAGCTTTTGATGGTTCAAAACTGGACCCAGCTGCTCCTGATCATTGTTTTAAATCAATGATCCTGACTAATGAAACAGCAGTCTTAGTTGGTAACAAAAGCTACAGAGCTCACACTCCATTCTACACTCATATTTGGGTAAAAATGCGAAGATAGGTGGTGTCCCCATCCCCATCTCAATCATTGACAATTAATATGCTCAAGCTAGACTTATTTCAATTGGGATAGTGAGGCAAGGCTGGTTCAGTCGGAGACTGGTCTCTTATAACATGTTCAGTACAAATGAAAATATGCTGTTTATAATGTAGACAAAGAAATTTACAGCAAATAGGAAGAAATTCACAGTTAGTAACTAACAATACAATTTCAAATAACTTGCATCAAGTATTATTTAAATATTAAGATTATTTTTACTCAAAGTTGTTTTCTGAATATACATATATTAAATTTGTTTGTATATTTAATCCATTTCACACAACAAAATGAAAAATAAATAACTTGAAATATTATTGTTACAGTCAACGATATTTTTTTAACTAAAAAATATTAAAAAATAACTGTCCTACTGAAATTAAGATAAAAATTATGCATGGTATTTTTATTTGGTTTTAGTATTATACTTCAGAGTTCTGTTAATAAAAGTTGTTGTTGTATTTAATAAATAGTTTTATTCTGTTATTTTGTTAACTTTTATGTTAATCTGCTAATAATAAACCCACTTTTACAAAACTTGGATTATTTGCCCTATTTTCCATACTTTACTTTTATAAAATGCTATACAGGGTGGAAAAAAGTCCTGGGACAGTTAAATATTTTAAAAATAATAAAGACAGAGCTATAAAACTTAGTACAAAGTCATTGTGCATAAAAACGATTTAAAAACATTATTTAGTGATGTGCTATCCATGGAGGACACTAGTAGTCTTGAATGTAAGCATATGATGACATTACACACATCAAATGAAAGGTCTTTATTATACGAGCACAATGCCACGAATTAGAGCTCAAAAGAACTACCGAATCAAAATGGCAGCTGTTCAATGATTCAAAATTGAAAATTCAAGTAATCTTTGAACGGCTACTATTTTTGACTTGGTTGTCCGTTTGGGTTTGCTGCATTGTATTTAACTAAAAAATACCTTTAATTTTATGTGCATATCAAACTATGCTTACATTTAAGATTTTCTTCCGACTCATAGTTAGCCGTCCCCCTGAGGAGGTAGTGTAAAACTGAACAATGGAGTTAAATTGATTTTAATGCCTTGTAACTTTGTGCCAAGTTTTATAGCTGTATCTGTATTATTTTTTAAATATTTACCTGTCCTGGGACTTTTTTCCCAGGGCCAGTTCTAGACATTTTCTTAGTGTAAGCGACAGTGGCGTAGCCAGGTTAGGAGCGCCCTGGAGTAGAGAAGGCCCAAGCTGGCCCCCAGGCTGAGCGGGGGTCCGTTTTGAAAAATAACTGTAAACTAGCGTTACAAAACAAACAAATCCTTTCCTACTTTTACAGGATTTTTGACATTATGTAATAACTAAATCGGGGCTTGCTGGGCCTAGTAGCTTTAACTCAACTCCCTGTTCAAAAACTTACCACCTCACCGCCTACATACTTTGTAGAAATATTTTTTACCAAATTCATAGTTCATTATTAGCAATAAACAACCCTTCTAAAGAAACAGTGGTATATTAATAAATTAACAACTTGGATACCGGCGTTCGCGGCATGATAAACCTCACGAATCGCTGTAGTATTCACTTATTTGACTGATCAGTAATCTCATATAATAATTGTGTTGACAGATCGCAGCACTCAGTGCTTGTTGTGGCAATAATAGTTAAAACCACCCCTCACCTTCCTTCCGTCCCTAGCACCCTTGACAACATAGAAAAAAATCCTAGCCTGGCTCCGCCCCCGCACCCTAGTGCTTGCCGCCCTGGAGCGACTACTCCACTGTCGCTTCGCCACTGGGTAAGTGTAAGCTAACAACATTCCGGCACCCCTCCCCCAAAATGGTCAATACTTATTCATGATACCAACGATACTTGTACATTGCTATCAAGGATCTATCAAAAATGTCCGCGATTGTTGAAGACAAAGATAAAGTCGTTTGTACCAAATTTCATCAAAATCGGATCATTTTTGCTCGAGTAATCGTGCTAACGGACACACATATATATAAATAACTTCTTGATTAGCATTGTACGTGTTATTAAATTTACGGAAAGTAAATGAAAGAAACGTCTTATAACACTTAAAACATATATTTACGCTTATACTGTTACTCACAAGACGGTAAATATACAAAACAGATGGTAAGTGGTGATCGATTTCGATTGGACACTCCAATGTCCAAAACCACTTACCACTTACCATCTGTTTTGTATATTTACCGTCTTGTGAGTAACAGTATAAGCGTAAATATATGTTTTAAGTGTTATAAGACGTTTCTTTCATTTACTTTCCGTACACATATATATATAAATACAGGGTGATCAACTCAAGGAGGCCACCATTGGGATATCGGAAACGGTAAGAATTAGAGAAAACTTTAAATGGGGGACATTCCTTTATTTTTTGTGGCAGTTAAAAAGCGAGCGTTTCAGGGCAGGAATTGGACTAGCCTACTGCGCATGCGCCAGAAAGAACCAACTCAGTTGTACTTGGTCTTCAACGAGTCGACTCATGAGTCATAACTTACTAGTTCAAGTTCAGTCCAGTTTCAGTTCAGTTCTGCTGTTAGCTACCTGCATGAGGATTGACGACTTGAGTCTGTCATCTCTTTCACCCCCTTCATCCGTTGCATTTTAAGTATTCAGTACTTTAATACTGACTATGGGAATGGATTAAAAATTGTTTAAATTGAATAAACCTACTTGTTTAGGAGCTACATGATGTAAAATGTACACCGGAAGTCATTTTTCCATAGGCTTAAACGAGTGGGTTTATCGAAAAAATGCCAAGAATAAAAAAGTTTTGAAACTGCCTGTTCTATCCGAAAACATCATAAAATGCAAAGTGTGGTGTTCCATAAGAAATTTCAAAGTTGGCCGCCATTTTGGAAAATGGTGGCTGAATTTCGAAAAAATAAAATCATATTTTTAACTGCCACAAAAAATAAAGGAATGTCCCGCATTTAAATTTGTCTCTAATTCTTACCGTTTCTGATATCCCAATGGTGGCCTCCTTGAGTTGATCACCCTGTATATATACAGTGTGTAAAATAAGTATTGAAACAAATCTGTATTTTTAAAACCGAAATAGATAGAAATATTCTGTTTGTGGCAATAATTGTTAACAAAGGTCCCGCAATTTTTTACATCAAAAATATTTTTTAACCCCCCTTACAGGGTAGGGGGTAGAGGGTGACTTAAAATAGCAACCCCTATTGAGTGACCCCTCATTTTGAAGGGTTTGTCAAAAGAAACACAATGACGCAATTCCGAGGTGAATATCTCACCCCTAGCCAAAATGGCGGATATTCCAAAATGGGTGCTTTTTTACAAATATAAAATTTTGGAATGGCTGCCATTTAGGCTAGGGGTGAAATATCTACCTCGGATTTGCGTCATTGTTTTTCTTTTAACAAACCCTTCAAAATGAGGGGTCACTCAATAGGGGTTGTTATTGAAAAAAATAAGTCACCCCAACCCCCACCCTGTTAAAGGGGATGGAAAAATATTGTTGATGTAAAAATTTGCGGAACCTATGTTAACAATCAATTCCACAAACAGAATATTTCTATCTATTTCGGTTTAAAAAATACAGATTTCTTTCCATTATTTGTGAAATTGGTGCTTTTTCCCATACAGTAAATCAAATTTTGGAATGCCTGCCATTTTGGCTAGGGGTGAGATATTCACCTCGAATTTGAGTCATTGAGTTTCTTTTGACAAACCCTTCAAAATGAGGGGTCACTCAATAGGGATTGCTATTTGAAAAAAATTAGTCACCCCCTACCCACTACCCTGTTAGGGGGGTAAAAAAATATTTTTGATGTAAACAATTGCGGAACCTTTGTTTACAATTATTGCAAGAAACAGAATATCTCTATCGCTGTTTCGGTTTTAAAAATACATATTTGTTTCAATACTTAATTTACACACTGTATATATATATATACAGGGTGAGTCACTACTGAATGCATTAATTTTAACAGCTTATTCTACTCATCAAAAGGAACCAGAAAATGTATATAAACCCTGGTCTGACCTTTACCGTTTAGCTGTTATGGCGTCATTTGTGATTTTTTTTAAATAACAGGACTTTTTACTGTTGATTTGACGTTATAAGCCAAACCCATGTTTGAAAGATATTAAAACTGGTATCATTTGAAAGAGGGTTAAATTAACTGCAAATTAAACACTATACCAAAGTAACAACTCTTCATACAATGGTTTGCAAATAGCTTTAAATGTAAAACTGATTTTTATTAAAAATTCCGTTTAAATTTTATAGCTAAAGAAAGTCAGTAAAATATTTGATATTCTAATATTCAACTAACTAAAGAACTTCCTTATTTATCTATCTTTAAATGGTGTATCAACATTAGGGGGTTATGTAAGGAAAAAATGCAGCTATTCGTTAAAAACGTGCGGAAGGCACTACATTTGGAATCATGGCGTTAATGCTAAAATACGGATTAAAAAAAAAATTATAATGCTACAGAGAACTTCCGTGAACGCAGTCGCTAATATTCAAACAGAAGGCTTCTGTTTGGGGTGTCCCAATCATAGGTCGGTAGTCTTACATCCTTACAATTTTTTTGAGTGCAGGCTCTAGAACTAAATAGCCTCCTCTAAGATTTAAATTTAACCATCAGATACATCAGTTAGATCACCATGATTTCCTCAACTCGATGATGGAGAGAAATACTACTTTTAGGGACTGAACAGTCAATATCTACCCAAAGGAGAGTTTCCAACATTCACAACAAGCATTACTATGCTTCCGAAAATCTTCACCATGCCCATGAGTCTTTCTGTCAAGTAGGATTTTAAGTGAATTTCTGCATTGGACTCATTAGGAATGTTTTTTTTTACGATTTTTAATTAAATGGCGACCATACAAAGTAGGTATTTTAAGCCAAGTGTTAATGTAGATGAGTGTAGGATGAGTGGCGCGATCTTGTAGTCTTGTTAGAAACAGGCTTATTGGACATTATCTTAACCTAAAATGGCATCCAGTACTTGGAATTCCTGACAGACTTGTTACCATTGCTCCTTGAAGGCTTGCCGTTGCAGTTGTGTCAGTGTAGGTACCGTCTTCAACGCACCCCCACACTACAATGTCGAGGTCCGAAATCATATTATCAATGATGTGTAGGGCAAATGGTGGGAATTCGGAAAATCTTTTGAAATATAAGGACGACTAAGAGCCATGTTACCATTTTGTTCTTAATGTACCTAATGAGGGTTTTTCAGATTTTATTAATATGTTAAAATAGAACCCACTTGAATATTTTGTTTGTTTTAGCTAGGGATGAGTTTATAATTGCTACATTTCCAATTCTCAATCAGCAGATTAGGTAAACTGATTTATTTGGTAATGAAATTAAAGGTATACAGTTATTTGTTTGGTATTTTAGCA